CCAGTCGTCAAAGGGTTGGCACTAATGCAATATTTAGGACTCTCTCACTAAAAAGTCACCTCAAAGAGACTTATGAAGTATGACTACTTTGTAGCACTGATTCTAATCTCCTCCAATAAATAGGCCGGTGATGAAGCAGTGCCATAAGAAACCTCTCTTTTTTAAATCAAATTTTGTTGACTTAGGTTTCGTTTGGAACAGAAAATTCTATTGATTTAGGTTTTGCTTACTAAGTTACGTGTTGCATACTAAGTTAAGTGTTACAGAGATGAGAATGTTCAGTTGGATGAGTGGCTTACTCTTAAAGATAGGGTATGAAATGAGCATATACGTGAAAGATTGGAGTAGCGCCAGTGAAAGAAAATTTTAGAGAAAGTCGTCTTAGATGGATTGGTCACATAAAATGTCGTCCTTCCGATGACCCGGTTAGGAAAGTAGAGGTATTAGATTTGACTTATGTTAAGATGGGTAGAGGTATACCTAAAAAGACTTGGTTAGAAAATATTCAAATTGATCTTTTTTTATTAGATTTAAATGAGAATTTGACTTTTAGCATGATACAATGGAGAAAAATGATTCATGTAGCTGACCCCACGTAGTGGAACAAAGTCTTGATGTTGTTGTAGATTTCATTTGGAACAGCTTCCTTACTGCTTTCTAAATCAATTTTTTAGTACAAAATTTTCTTAAACTAGAAAATTTTCTACTAAAAAGCTGTTCCAGAAAGCGGTAAGGGAGTTGTCCCCAACAAAACCTTAGTTTGATTCATCTTTCTTTATTCAATGCATTTTGAGCCAATTTTGAACATTAATTATAAGAGACCTAATTTCTCTCTCTTCTTATCTCATTTCAACATTATATATTTCTCAATTATCTTTCATGGACAATTTTAGAGCCAAGAAGCCAACACCTACTATTTAATAAATAAATTTAGAGGATTATTAAAGTTTAAAAAAAAAATTTCTTTCTAAATTGATTACACTGAAGGGTATTGTAAATTTTCCCAACAATGAAGTGACATCTTACCTATCCATGAATTTTTATGTGTTAATTAATGGGTCTCTAATTATAAATCTACATCATTTTGATTTATATGCCCTTGCAAGAAGTAGATGGTGAAATTATTCTGTGCGGATATCGAATGCCGGAGATCAATCAAAATTGGCTGTCACCCCTGCTTGTTACCGCTCGGTACTCGGCTCGGTATCGATGATGTTATGCATTCTGGTTGGTCTCCGGACGGCGAACTGCGTTCGACGTCCGCACAGAATAATCTCTCTGTAAGATGAGGAAGGATGTGAGCTTGTTGATCGTGAGCGGGAGATATATATTAGATAAATGAGAGGCATTCAGTGAGCCATCAACAGCTTTCTTGTGAACAAAATGATAGCCTAGATGGAGGTTCTTCCTCATGGAGTAAAAAATTGGGTTTGCATTGATGTGAAGTGGCCATGATATGATGGTATCACATAGAAGTTGAGGAGACTTGTGAAGCTTTATGTGAAGTTAGGTGAGGAGTTTGACCAACTGACATACTTCAATGATAGCGGAGGCCATTACAGAATATTATGCCTCCATAGATATCGTGAAAAGGTTTGTTGTTTCTTTGAATACTCAGAAATTAGATTGCAATTGAGGAAAATGACATAAGAAGAAACACATGTGGAATCATCCTGATGATGCGCCCAATCTTAGAGGTGTCAATATTTGACACGATACTAAAATTTGACTTGAATCTGACCCGAAAATTAGGGTTAGACCCAACCCAAAAATTTGGGTTAGACCCGACCCTATTTAAAAATGAGTCGGGTTCGGGTTCCCAGATTCGACTCATTTGAAAAAAATGGGTCGGGTTTATATTGACCTGTAAACCTGTTTAAAATGAGCTGACAGCGCTGTCCGAGCTTGCCCGCGCGTCACTTCTGAGCTACTCATGCCCAAGGCTGCTAGCGTCGTGCCCAAGCTGCCCGCCCGCGCTGCCCACACCTGCCCGCACTCTAGCCTGAGGCTGTCGGCGACTGCCTACCCGTACCTGCCCTCGTCACAAGCCCCGCCATCCGCCGTCCATCCATCAATCGTGCAGGGTCAGGTCAACCCGGTAACACGACCGGTCGGTTCCAAATATTCGACCCGTTTACATAACTGGGTCGGGTTAGGGTTGACCCGTTTGAACTCGCTTTTCCGGGTTCAACCCGAAGCCCGATTTTGCGACCCCTACCCAATCCAAATCTAAGTTGGTTGTGAGAGAGAGAAAGAGGGATGACGCTTGAGATAGGATTATGCTATATGATGTGGTGATTTTGAGTTACTTGAGTAGTCACTTTGATGTTTGTCTAATATAATTGAGTGGTAGCCTACAAAAAACTAAGCAAGTTTGTTCACAATGAATGGAATGTCTAGCAGGCTAAAAAATAAGTATTGTAAGCAAGATTGGCAGATTGCAATATTCAGTGATGTTTGTGGTAGTCAACCTATGATGGAGTGTGAGAGATGTTGAAAAGGCTTATCAAATGCAATAATTTTCACTATGCCTTCCATTTTTGTAAATCTAAGTTGGATTCAACTCTTAGAAGAAGATGCTAGACACTAAGGTCCTTGATGAAGAAGTGATGAGCAAGAGCACGAATCATTTGTTTGACAATGAATGGAGAATTCTGTATCCTCATAAGATCACCTATATTCTACATCAACCAACAGATAAAGAACAAATGATTTCTTAGTGTAGATCAATATCAACTAATTTGATTTAGAGTTTGTGAACTAGAGTAATATAACAAAACTCTCGAGTTCGATGAACTAAGTATTAGGTGCTTGCGTAAGATCATAAAGGAAACATCGAAGTGGGCACAAGATTTGAACATGCTTCAATGATCAAGCTCAATAGTTGGGAAAAAAAGCACCTCCTTCGCACCATAAACCGGCGGAGATATTTGCGCCGGAACATGCGCCGGAAACTACCGGTTCCGTCGGATTGTACATTGTTTCCGGCGGATTAAGTCCGCCGGTAATAACAGATTTTCCTGTAGTTAATCTAATAGGTGAACTAATTATGAGTGAGATATAAATGTAGATGATGTCGAGTGTTGATGAAAACATTTGGCAATTAAGTCGAGCTTTGTAATAATCAATGTGACCATCAAGAAGTTGGTTTATGTAGAACACTCATTTGCAATCAATGAAATTATGATGAGGCTGACGTGTAACAATATATCATTCGTTAATTTGAAGGGTTTGTATTTCAATGCACATAACATCTCTCCATTTGAAATTTTAGAAAGTTTGTTTGGTTGTGGTGGGTTCAAGGGGAGGGGTTAGGGATGTTCGGTGAAACCAAAAGAAAGCTTGGTGATATGTTTAAATATAACATTTTTAGTTCATGTAATCATATGATCAGAGGTGGATGGTTCATATGTTCTCTAATTATTAGGATTCATGGGAGAGCTATAGTAATCATATCTGCGAGACGTCGCAAGAGAAGCTAAAGACGAATTATCCAATGATTGTGGCAGAGGTGGTGGCATTAGTTGGGTTTGTTGTAGTGAATGGAAGGTTGTGTGAGTTAGGGAAATTAATGGAGACTTGGATTGAAATAGTAGAGAAATGGTAGCATTTAATGCAGTAAGATTTTGGACAGTTATGTTGAGATTTAGGGTAGGTAAAAATGGGATGTAAAAGCTCATTTGGAGAGAGTAAATATATTTATTTTATCATTATTGTGAAACTAGGCTATGGTGGGAAAAACATTCTCCACAAATTTGATACGGCAGAAATAAAAAAATTGGTTTGTGAGGCCAAAATATGTATGAGCATTATGAAGATCAGAGTATCCCAAAAAAATCCAAGGCCTTGATCTTAAGCATTATGAAGATTAGGGTATCCCAAGAAAATGAAAGAGCAATGGGCTCAACACCTCTGACAATGAAAGGGGAAGAGGATCTCCTTATCGAATGAAGGAAACTATAGCATCACCAAATGCGTTACAAGCTGACGTGGCAGCGAGTCGATACCCCCATTCTCAAAAAAAAAAAAAAAACATCATGTAAGACAAGGACATGAGATTTATGATGATATTGACTCATACTCTTAGGATATTTATTCATAAGATTACAAAATAAAAAACTTTATTATTGTTTTATAAAATAACTTTCTAATAAAAAAAATTTAATTTAAAAAAAAAGTTATATTAAAAAATTGCTTTAAAAAGCAACAGAAAAGCTATCCCAAATAAAATCTTAGGCTTCATTCAAGATGATTTTCTTATTGCTTCTTAAAATAATTTTTTCATACAAAAATTAAAAATTTTATATTAAAAAACTGCTTTTAAAAATAGTAAAAAAAAAAATCATTCCAAACAAAACCTTCTTACTATTTTATGAGATAGTTTTTTAGTTAAAATTTTTTTAGTTTTACATTAAAAATTTACTTTATAAAACAGTAAAAAAATATTTCAAATGAAGCCTTTGATATAATCATAAATCAACAATAATCATGTACGACATGCTTGCAAGGAAGCAACTGTTATGAGAATAATTTGCATTAATGGAGAATATATTCCCTTAATATTGTATTTAATGGTGAGATATTTCCTTGATAGTTGCATTTATTCCTTAGCACATCCCCACCATACAAAGTCCTTCCATTCTACGCTTCAATGGGCCTACTAAAACCTCATTATACCTTCAAAATCTTTTAATAACCTAACTTATCATTAACAAGCAAATGCAAAAAAGGCATCCATTATCAACCCTAAACCCTAATTCAGCACTATTAACATTTCTAAATAATAAAATCAACAAACTTTTCAATTTCAAAAAAAAAAAAGTTTTCAGACCTCAAACCAAAGGAGCATTTATTCTGTGCGGAATCCAAACGTGTTCGGAGGCCAATCTAGACATGCCACATCACCAGATGCACTAGTCCCCGGTGACGTGGCGCGGCCGGATTAGCCTCCGAACACATTTGAATTCCGCACAGAATTATTTTCCAAACCAAAGAGTCTATGAACTGAAGATTGCTCTTGCTTTAATTATAAGAATGGAAACAGTAGTCCACTCACAGAGCACACATCTGATGCCAATAATACATTAACAGGAGAAAACTCACCCTGACATTAACAAGAACAATTTTCAATCTCCTATAACCTACGGAAAGCTCTGGTAAACAAATACAATTATAATACAATTACCCCAGCTCTTCATTCACCAATTTGATATAATACATTTATAATCAGCAAACAAGCGATGATCTGAGAGATGCTGCGCTCGGAAGATGCGTGCAGGAAGCCCATCGTATGACGGATTCCGATACCATGAGATCGAGCTGCTCGTGTTCACCGAGGCCGATGGTATGATTTCGCTTGCTTCGAAGCCCGACTGGTCTCGGTGTAGCCGCTAACCCCTTAGCTTCCTTGTCAAATAGCATCCCAAAGCTGGAGTCTGAAACCAATTAGCTTAATGTATCAGATCTCAGAATTGAATATGGTTAGAAGGGAATTTACAAGCATAACAAAGAATTACTATGTATGTTCAAAGGAGAAAGCTACCTCTTTGAATGGTGTTTCCTTTTGCATTGTTGGAACTCAAATTCAAAATGTTTTCTTGAGGATTTGGAGGGGGGCTGAAGAATGAGAAGCTGGGGAGCAATGGGAAGGTAAAGCCAGTTGTGGTATCAGCTTGTAATGGAGAAAATGAAGTCCCGGTGCCAGAATTTACAACTGGGCTGAAGCCAAAGCTGAAATCATGGCTTCTTGGGGTGATTGGATTTGAGAAACTTGAGAAAGAACAGCTTCCCAAGTCCTCTTGTACAAAACTTAGTACAGTTTGATGGCTATCAGTTTCTTGCATTTGCTGAGCATATTCTTGTATCCATGAGTGCTCTGCAAAAACAGATGAACAGGAATTGGTGAAAATATGAGCGAGATCTGACTTCTGATCTTTTTTTAGTGAGATAATCCTATAGCGAAAGACAGTAGAAATATTCAAAAGGTTAGTCATCTTCAACAGTGTTTTTTAGGCTTCGTTTGGAACGGCTTTCTTGCTGCTTCTTAAAACAGCTTTCTAATACAAAAAAAAAAAAAAAAAAAAAAAAAAAAAAAAATTAGTTGTTTTAAGAAGCAATAAGAAACTTGTCCAAAACGAAACCTTAATTTGAAAAATGAAGCTTCTAACACAAATTAATATAAAAACATGGGCTATGGTTTAGACATAGAAGTAATAATGAAAATATTTGTTTGTTTAGAAAGGCAAACTCCAGATGATCAATATTAATTATGATGCAGTATATGTTATTGATATTAGGGGGGCACAACACAGGTATTGAATTACTGCACAGATTGAAGGAGGCATAAGCTTTTCCCCAATCTGGTATAAATATCAAATATAAGGAATTCAACACCTATCAAAGCAGTAGACAGATTCAAAATTTAAAAAAAGCTGCTAATATGCTGAATTTAGCATTTAGTTGCCATTGAAGTTCCCTACATAACTTTGTGTACAAGCACAACTTCTTACGCCCACAGTTGTCAAGCCTGTAACCATGACGAGAACGACATGGAAGTCATAGCTCCTGTATGAACCTTATAATGATAAAAAATCCCTATAAAACATTTTACCCCTAAAAGATTCATGTTGGATCATGTTGTTTTCTTTTGACCTCACATAGTGTGGTGAGGGCATGTGAGAATGTTGAATTCTCTTCTTTGGCAATTTTTGATTATGTGTGTTCAATACTCAATCAAAGTTTTTTAAAAAATAAAAATTAAAAAATTAAAAAATGGTGTTGGGTAAAAAGATGAATCCGAATTTAATCTCCAAAAATTTAAAAATTAAAAATAAAACAAAAAAAGAACATACACAAAATACACCAAGAATTTTACATAGATTCACTTCCCTTCTCTCTTTATAAATGAAAATATAAGGTAGCAAAAAATTAAATATAATTCATAAAACAACCTTAATGAAATAAGCCATAAATATTGGACCTACAACTTATAGTTTGGTTGCTACATTATGTCTACCAACAGCTTAACAGCTATGTTCTGAGGGTTTCAAGATAAACTTTTCATTTGGCACTTTGAAAACATCCTACACCACATCAAACATCACTATATGTTCTAAGAAAACAAATATCATCCTACAAATTGACTCTTCTAAATAAGAATAATAATTTTACAAATAAGAAGTTCAAGCTCACCTAGAACCTGCTTAGCCGTTAGTCTCTGTAGTGGATCTCTGCATAACATCCCGGAAACCAATTGCTTTGCGGGTTCAGACACCCCATCCCATGGATCAGATGGGAACCTCAACTCCAATGATCTTACTGCATCAAAGATCCTTGACTTAGTCTTTCCCCAAAACGGCGGCATTCCACTTAGTAGAATGTAGAGAATAACCCCTGCACTCCAAACATCTGCCGCCTGGTTATAGCTGCCTGCCAACACTTCTGGTGCTATATAGAATGGGCTTCCCACAGTCTCACACAGACTCTGCCCTGCAAAACCCAAATCTCATCTCTTTCATTACAAATATCAAACACTTTGATCAGCTAAAAAATTAACAGTGTTATCTATCAAGGAAAAATTTTGTATCAATTCAATAAATTTAAAACTCTTCCAAACCAAAGATTTGGTAAGGAGGTCCCTGCCCAACTCTTTCTTAGGGCGTCTCCAACCAAACTCCAAACGACTGTAAGGCGTAACTGGTTTGCTCCATTCGAACAACAAAGAAATTGCTAGTCCGTGGAGGATGAACAACGCGACGCCAATATTGGTGATGCACTGTTCAAATACACGATTTTTCTATCTCAACAGGATTTGCATAATAAATGTGCGAAAGAGGAGAAACACGGTTATCTTTGCAGAAGCGTGCAAAATGGAGTTCGATTGGAGATGAATCATGACATTTTTTAGTTTCACTGCATTTTGGAGTGAAAAATGGAATTTTTGGTTGGAGATGCCCTTATCTAATATATAGTGTGTTAGATATTTGTTCCTAGATTTAGGTTTGCTTTTGTGTTGGTGTCTTGTATGGCAAAATGTATAGCCATTTGTATTGCTTTGTATAGCTTTAGGAGTCTATATAAACGAGTCTTTAGCTTGTAATAGGTAAGCCAAGAGAATAAAGAATTATCAGATTTTGGCTCACGGTTCTTCTCCCCTCTCCCTCCTCTCTCCCTCTCTAAATCTTGCAAGAAGATCTCTCAAGAAGATCTTCCAACTTTGGTTTTCAACAACTTGGTATCAGAGCCTTGGCGGTGATCAAGGAAGGAGGAGGTTGTTCGGTCCAAGAAAAGATAAGAGGCGGACATAGTAAAAATCAAAACCAACGTTGGTTCCGTTCGGGCTTGTAGAGGAAGGCGAGGTACGAGAGCGGGCTGTTCACGAGAAGCCGCACAGACGAAAGTCGGAAGGATTTGACGGCTTGGTTTTGACCGGGTTACCGGAGGCAGGATCAAGATTCCAAAGGACTCTGGCCGCAAGAAGGCGGAGCTAGTTGGCAGCGTGTGCTGCCTGGCGGAGGCGGATGTCCGCTGTTTGGCTTGTGTGAGGGGTTGAACGGCGGGCTTGCCTTTGGGTTCGTGTGAGGAGGAGGCCGGACGTCCGGCGTGAGCTTCTTGGCCGGGTTCGCCGGTTGAGCGAGGGGACCGAAAGCTCAGGTAAGGCCTGGCTTAGCTCGGATCGGAGCTATAGTAGCGGCCTGGTGCCGCAGTTGCAAGCTGGATCAGGAGTCGCTCGGTGTGCACCGGTGTGAGCGAGGCTTCAGGCGGACGTGCGAAATCAGAGAAGGCTTCTTGATCGGGAGACACCTTATTGCGATTCTTTAGCCGATCAAGAGAGCAGCGATCAATATGCTTGAAGGTGAAAGGTGGAGGAGCTTCAAGGAAAGGTACGCTAGAGGTTGACGAAGGCGGACAAGAACAGAAGCATGGAAGTCATTGAGACCGAATTTTTTGCTTGATCTTGAATCAAGTTTTGATCGTTCTTGAAGCAGATTTTTTTCTTTTGTTCTTTGGTTGAAAGATCAGTTTGGATCTTTGCGGTGGAGTTTTGGACTTCAGGTGGAGTCCGGGAGACACTGAGGTAGTGTCAGCTGTTCTTGGAGAGCAGGGTTGAAAGTGCGGGGCGCTTGAAGATGCAAGGTCGTGCGGTGCACGAGGAGTCAGCATAGGAGCGTGGGGCACTGGTGATGAGCGGAGCGCAGGTGAAGGCGCAGGGCTCGCTGCACGGGTGGATACGTGCAGGATGTGGTCGGAGAGAGACCACATGAGTGCAAGGCGCGGGCGCGGGCTTGTGGCGTTTGGAAACGGGCTGGAGATGCAGGGCGCGGGCACTGAGGCGCAGGGTGCAGGTGGAGGCACAGGGCGCGGAAGCCGGGCTAGGGGTGCTCGGGGATTGGCTGCGTTGGATGCAGTGCGACAGGAGATCTGTCGGGAGGTGGAGCTAGAATGTCGGTGGACGCTTTTGGCGGAGGAGACCGACATGATCATTCTTTGGCTGTTTTTTAAAGAACAGTGGTTATCTTTTGTTGTTTTTGTAAAATTTAGGACCAAGGTGGAGATTGTTAGATATTTGTTCCTAGATTTAGGTTTGCTTTTGTGTTGGTGTCTTGTATGGCAAAGTGTATAGCCATTTGTGTTGCTTTGTATAGCTTTAGGAGTCTATATAAAGGAGTCTTTAGCTTGTAATAGGTAAGCCAAGGGAATAAAGAATTATCAGATTTTGGCTCACGGTTCTTCTCCCCTCTCCCTCCTTTCTCCCTCTCTAGATCTTGCAAGAAGATCTCTCAAGAAGATCTTCCAACTTTGGTTTTCAACATAGTGTGTTCGGTTTAAAAATACACTAAGCAAGATTTTGCATACATAGCTGATAGCACTTAATTCTAATGTACTCATATATGCAATACTCAAAATTTTATATTTATTTACATAAAACTTTAATCTCTAAATTAAAGTGTTATTAAAGTAAATATAAAGATTCGTATTTTTGACATATTATGATATTTATTTTAATCCCGCTATAATATTATTTAAATAATAATTATCAGGGATTATTAACATTCTTTTGATCATTTAATCAAAAATCTCAATGTAAAAAAAAAATTTAAATGTCATCAAAGAAATCATCATATAAGCATATCAACAAATCTAAGAACTTACTATACTAAGAAGTAAGAACTTAACACTGAATAACAGATATCAGCTAACAAAGTAACAATTAAATTGTATCTTCCTAAAAATACCAGGTTGGATGTAAGTAGCGAGGCCGAAATCCGCAAGCTTGATAGGAGAAGATAAAGACTTGGTAGCCAAAAGAATGTTTTCCGGCTTCAAATCCCGATGAACAACTCCATTATCATGGCAGAACAACACCACCTCCATCAGATGCCGGAATATTACCGCCGCCTCCCGCTCCACGAACCGGCCGTGTTTCTCAAGGCGGTGAAAAAGTTCCCCGCCGGCACATAGCTCCATAACCAAATGAACAAAATCTTCTTCCTCGTACACGGCTTTGAGGTCCACCACATTAGGGTGGCCGGAAAGCCGCGCCATTACCTCGATCTCCAGCTTAACACTGCGAACGTCCTCGACGGAGACAAGCCGGTTCTTGGCGATGGATTTGCAGGCCAGCGCCTCGCCAGAGACCAAATCAGAGCAAGCTCGGATCACGCCGAACTGACCCCAGCCCAGATGCTCGCGGAGCACGTAGCGATCGCCGAGGTAGGCGATGTGCGGCGATTCCAGAATCGGCGAAGAGAGTCCTGGCACTTTGTAACAGTTACACCGCCAGTCAGCGCCGGAGTTCCCCATGGAACTCTGAGGAACCCTAGAAATCCCCAACCTCGGAACAAAACCCAATCATCCCTATATCATCGAACTCGATATCCAAGAGACTCAGAGGAATGATGCATAATTTTCCAAAACAAGTATCAAGTAATGATTTACAGTTTAACCCTCCAAATCTGGAAACCCTAACAACTGAAACCAACTAAACCAATTCAAAGCCCCCCAAAATTAGGCCCAAGAAGACAACCAAAACCTCAGATCAAGCTCGCTTCAGCCCCAAAAACCCTGATTTCGAACCGATCTACGACCAAATCCGATCAAAGTCAATCGAATACTGAAAAATCTGAGATCGATTCCAACACTTCATAGAAACACTTCATAGAAACTACAGAATCAAGCATAGGAGACGAGACACGGGAGATGGAAGCTACCTCGCCTCGCTGGCTTCACGCGAGTCGGGCAGCCTGGAGAGAGGTCAGCGGCCTTAGCCCATTTATTCTGCCATGATTGCGACCTCTCACTTCTCTGTTGTCGTGTGGGCCACACTCAGTTCGGATCCTGATCCGAGAATATGGACGCCGAGTTCTTTCTTTGGTCGCTTTTTTGCGTCCGAAGAGACCACAAAGGTTCGGCGGGGATCCGAAGTACGGTTAACTGCAATATAAATTAGAAGTAGCACTATCCAACCATTTATGTTCTTTTCATCTACCTTCTAAATTTAACGGCTGAGATTAACTCGTTTTACTATATTCAAAATAAATGTACGGCTTATACGAGGTGATTTATTCAGAGAAGTGTGTGATTGGAGAGGATTTTATTCCGGGTTGAAAGGTTCGGTGGTCCGCGCGAAGGCTTCGACCTACGAGCTGTTTCCGACGAATGGGATTGCGGCGGGTTTCTACAATTGGGGTGGCGGCGGATGGTCGGTGGTACGACGGAATCAAGGCCGTTGAATGCCCTCGTGTGTAGGCAAGGACGAAATGGAGGACAATGGTGAAGTATCTTTGCTGTTCAACCGTGTCGGGGTAGGCGGGGACCTATTTTGAGCGTGTCACTATCGTGTCAGGTAAGGCGGGGACCTGTTTTAAGTGTGTAAAGTTGGGTTGTCTAATTTTCTTTGGGACGTTGGTTGTAATTATTATGAGCTTCCTGCCGAGTACGGTCCTTCCGACCAAACGAACATGTATATGTCACTCCTACCATGTAATGCAATCTATATGATGTATATTTGCTACATCAATCCAAGGCCTTCTCCCAAGGAAGGGCCTCATTTGTAATCGACTACAAATTCTAGTGGATTCATTCAAACTGGGCCTGGCCCTGTGGTTTTTCCTCCTTTCAGGGGTTTTCCACGTAAAAAACTCTGGTGTCTCTTATGAATATTTCACCCCCCTCTCTTATCTGTTTGTGTGCTGGATCTTCGTACAATGCTAAGACGTTAAACCATATATTTCTTTACCGCCGCGAATATTCCAGGACGCAACAAGCTTAAAATAGAAATTTTGAAATTGTTTTTAATTTTTATTTTATTTTTGTATTTTATTCAAATTATTTGTGTAAAAATTTTGAAATATCTCATAATACTTTTGTTGCGGGCTAGAATATACACGGCGGTAGAGTTTACAAATTCACGTCTGAGCGTTGCACGAATATTCAACACACAAACAGAAAAGAAAATGAACACCAGGATTTTTACGTGAAAAACCCGAAAGAGTGAAAGAAATCACGGGGCCACGTCCAGCTGAAAAGTTTCACTAGTGTTTTGTAAATTACAAGAAGCTGATTCGTCCCACAAGTCAGGACGATCAGATTACAATTCGTTTCTTCTAACTTGAAGCAAATTTACAAAGTTCTGCATAATTCAGGCGTCTCCTGAAAATTCGGCAGAGTTCTGGCATATTCAGGCGGCGGAAAGAACTCCGACGGTGGTCGAGGAGGAGATGATTCTCCCTTTCCATTCTTCTATTCTCTTCCTCTCTCTTTTCTCACTTGAGTAGCTTGCTGAAATTGGAGTTTGGGTGCTCTCGAAATTAATTTTTTAAGTTTCGGGTTGGGTTTTGCCTCAAGATTCGTGCCCGATCAAGATAATTTTTTGAGAATGTTAAAGTATAAACATAAATAAATATATATTCGTATTTAGTTCTACTGCTTAGTTGGCATGAGCACATTGGCTCTTAGGATTGTCTATTCTCTATATAAAGCTGTAATCTCAATATGTTGAATAAGGAAATAATTCATTTCTTCTTCTTTTGTCTACATCTCTTCTTCTTGTTCTTGGTTATGGAAACTTTCCTCTTTCTCTATTTCTTCATGGTATCAGAGAGCTAGGCAAGAAAAGATCTTACAGAGATGAGTTCTGCTACATCCAATTCCGGAGAACAGTCGGAGATGGAGGAGACGGAAGACTCAATGATTTCATCGGAGCTGAAATTCGTCGTCTCGAACTTGAAGACAATCGTCTCCATTCAGCTGGACGCCGACAACTATCTCGTGTGGAAAGAACAAATTGCAAAAATAAATTCGTGCAAACGGGTTTGATCGCTTTCTTGATTCCTCCTTTTCTTCTCCAACTAAGGTCGTTCTTCAAGAAGACGACTGATCTATTCCAAATCGGCAGTTCAATCAATGGATTCTAACAGACCAAAATCTTGCTGCTGCACTATGTTCTACAATCTCATCCTCTATTTTACCATATGTAGTTCATCTTGACTCGACGGCATCAATTTGGTCCATGCTTGAATCAATATTTCAATCAACAAATAGGTCCAAAGTGATACAGCTCAAGAACTCTCTTCACAACATTTCTCTCAAGAATCAAACTATCACTCAATACTTATTTGAAATCAAGAAAATTGTCGATCAAATCTCTACATCGGGAGCGACGGTGAATCACGAAGATGTTATTATCTACATCCTCAATGGTCTACCATCGGCTTATCAATCTTTCAAAACATCGATCCGAACAATGTTAACGCCTCTCTCCTTGGATCAGCTATATCCTATGCTTCTTAGCGAAGAAGTTCACATTGCATCGGACAATGCTCGTACTACAGCTCTACCGGATCCTCACTCGGCGTTATTTACGAATCATGGCAGAGGTTGCCGCTCTCAGGGCAGGGCATCGTCGTCCAACATCATGACGTCCCGCTCTGCATCTACATCTCAAGAGATATGCCAAATTTGTGACAAGAGAGGTCATCTGGCTTCAAGCTGCTGGCACCGAGCGAACCTCAACTACGTTCCCAGGCAACAGCAATCGCAAACCCAGACTCTTGCGGCAAATACAGAAAACTCCTATTCGGAGTGGTTTCTTGACTCTGGTGCCACCAATCATCTCACCAACTCGCTGGACAATATGTCCATCACAACACCTTATCAAGGCTCCGACACGGTTACTGTAGGTGACGGGAGATCGGTTAACATTGCAAACACCGGCAAAGGCCTGTTACCGACTCCCAACCGTAAGCTATCCTTATCTCAAATTCTTCACACGCCATTTTTATAGTTTAATTTGCTTTCAATTTCAAAATTCACTCAAGAAAATGACATTTCGATTATCTTTAATCCATATGGTTTCTTGATTAAGGATATGAAGACGCAACAGGTGCTGCTCCAAGGCCTATGTGAAAATGGTCTATACACTACAGGAAAAACGTCATTTTCCGGCGGACATTTTCGCCGGAAAATTGGCCAAAATCCACCGGAAATTAGCATTTCCGGCGGATTTCTGGCGGAAATATTTCCGCCGATTTAACTCGCGTCGAAAAAGGCCTTCCGACGTATAATAATTCGCCGGAAAGTTTTCCGGCGATTTTTTCGCAGGAACAAAATTTTTGGCGGACTTTTTTTTGCGTCGGAAGTTCAATAAAATTTTTTTAAAAAAATTAATCACAAATTCTAAACCCCGACCTACCCGGGGGCTCGAATTTACTCTCAGCCCAAGCAGCTAAGCCAGCCCGCACAGTGGTCACCGAGCCCGGCAGCGCCCACGTGGACAAACCAGCCCGCCCAACAGGCCCGCGTGGTCTCCTGCCTTCGGCGGGGTTCGAACCCCGCCCCCTCCTTTCTGCGCACGCAAAGACTCCTACATCCGCCATCTACAAATTCGCCATCATTTAAAAACTGAAGATTTTATAATTTAACAATAAGTTTTTTTGGGAAAAGTTAGGGATTTAACAATAAGTTATTAAATTAAAACTTATTTTTTTAAATTCTGCTGGAAATCCGCCGGAAATCCACTGGAAATCTCTCCGAAAAAAATCCCCCGGAAAAACAGTAAAAAATTATGTCGGAAATTTGTTGAAAATTTTCCGTCGGAAAATCCGTCGGAATATGTGACGAATTTAATTCCGCCGGAAATGAGCTGTTTTCCTGTAGTGATACCCGATCCGGCACTCAAATTTCTCTGCTTCCGATGCGGGGCTGGCTGCTGTTTCGGAGAACTGAACCAAATGGCACAATAGATTAGGACATCCCCATTTGAGGATGATCAAAACCATTTCACAGTGTAATCATTTACTGAAAATAAACACTGATCATGTAGCTTGCGTACCATGTAAACAATCAAAATGTCATAAAATTGTTTTCGAAAAATCAAATAATCGCAGCAATTCTCTACTGTCACTTGTGCACTCTGATGTTTGGGGGCCGGCCGGCTCCAGTCGTCTCCACTCAAGGGTATCACTACTATGTGCTATTCGTCGATGACTTTTCAAGATTCTCCTGGATATTTCCAATGAAAGAAAAATCTGAAGTGTTCGACATTTTCGTTAATTTTAAAACCAAACTAGAAAAGAATACTATGCATACTATATAAACTTTCAGGTCTGATGGAGGAACTGAGTTCGTGAACAATAAATTCAATCAGTTCTTGACAACGCACGGTATAGCTCATCAAACTCTTGCCCTTACACCCCAGAGCAGAATGGGGTTGCAGAACGCAAGCACAAGCATTTGATTGAAACAACGAGGACGCTACTACACACTGCTTCGGTCCCATACAAATATTGGCCTTATGCCGTCCTCACGACCACTTATCTGGTTAATCGGTTACCCTCTCTCAACACTGCTAACATAACACCTTTTGAATTATTTTTCAATAGTAAACCAACATACAATCACCTACGAACTTTTGGGTGTGCTTGCTTCCCCTTATCTCCAAACCATAATCATCATAAACTTGAACCAAAAGCACCTCTATGTGTACTTCTTGATTACTCTGATGTTTATAAAGGTTATAAATGTTTGGACATATCAAGAAACAAAATTTTGTTCTCTCGGCATATTTCTTTTGATGAAATGCTATTTCCTTTTCAAAAAGGTCCAACTGCCAATGCAGAATAAAGTTCATTAAATTCCACTATACATCCGAATTTGCTGCTTCCGCTGTCTGCTCCTCATGTAAGTCAGGCAAAACAAAATACTCAAAATTGTATTAAGGATTCTTGTCTCAGGCCTTGTACATCTCCTATACGGGCACCGTCTTCCAACCT